CCACAGCTGAGCTCTGGAGTAGTCTTCACAGCGTCCGCCGTGGCACGACACCTTTCTGGGTTACCTGCGCTCAGAATTTCGGCAACGCCTCTAGACACCGCTGGAAGGGGTTCTCCAGTATCACCAGGCCCTCCGTCTGCTTGGTCGCTGGGCCTACCACGAGCTGGCCATCACGGTACTGGGCTATCTCCTACTGCAACAGTTTGTCATGATCTCAAACTCGTATAAACCCGAGGGAACTGCGAAGGCATTCTTCGCCTGGGCCAGTGAGCAGCACCTCCACTTGCAAGTAGCCAGATGTCAGGTCAAGTGTCCGAAAACATAGCGTTCCCGGCTAAGCTATGTCAACTTCTATCAATACGTGGTAAGGGCAAAAAGTCTTTAGTCACCTTATTAAGTTTCCTATAATCAATACGAGGCCGCATCGAACCATCCTTTTTCTTCACTAAAATTATGGACGAAGACGAAGATGAGTGAGAAGGTCGAATGACGAAGGACAGCGTTGCAAACCTCCAGCTTAGAGACATTGTCGACAGATTGTTCGAGCTGATGCAGAGATGCGCAAGGTCCTCTTTCGTCAGCAGGCCGCCACGCTGGATGCGGCCCTCCGTTTGGCTCGCCAAGAGGAGGCCCTCGAGGCTGCTTGTAGTCCTTCCGGGGTTATTTTTGGGTTGCTACGATTCGAGCCTCGGCCACTGTGGAAACCCAAACCCTTACTCACTGGGGTTTCTGCGGATCCTCTGTCCCTCGTCGGACCTATGGCGTCGTCAGTAGCCCTACCGCCCCCCTGAACTTCCTGCTCCCCGCTACTTCCTGGCAATTGCATATGGCCAATCACTTAGTGACGGAGAGTGCGTCCTTTTTTCTGACAAAATTTGTTCATGCCTCTCGTCATAACCTTGTCCATTAGTCGTAGCCACGGTAGCTACTACTAGTTTTTCTTGTCTGGTAGACTATGGCACTGGTTGGTCGTTGATCTGTCAGCACCCTTTTTAGAGCTTCACACTCGAGTTAGGTATATGCCTAAGCCTCACATTTGTTTGCATACTGTCAATGGTACTGGTCTTAGACATATTGGTATTTTTTTTAGAATTTGCCCCGAACCTCTACTTTTAACCATCCGTTTATTGTTCCTCTAGACATAATTTGGGATTGTGTCTTAGCTGTCGGTTTCTTTCAGAAGTTTAGGTCTTCGGTAGATTTAGACAGGCGACTTCTATGGAGGCGTGCAGCTAAGGTCCCGTTTCGTAGCCGCCCTTTCTTGTCTATCGTCGTCAATTTGCCCTTCAGTCGTAGCCGCAGAGGCGGATGACAACCTCTGCTAAGACAGATTTAATATCCTCGAAGTCATCGAATGCCGTTTGACACTCAGCTATCCAGCAAAACTTTCGGCCCTTTTCTGTAAGTCAATGTAGCGGACGTGTGATTCCCGAGAAATTGGCTATAAAGCGCTCATAATATGATGCCAGTCAATGGTGGGTGTCACGGATAGTCTCTCGAAGCCGGGGAAAGCGAAGGTCAGATGCAAGTCGGAGTTCCCGTCCGTTCCAGAGGTAATGGGGTGTGAATCAGATCGAGGAATGGGTTGAACCACGGTAAGCTGGTAGGCATAAGGGGAGTTGTACGTCCCATTCACGGGGGTGGTTACCATAGGAGAAGGCGAGGTGGAGGTTGTGTAGTGTGCGATTAGTGCGCTCGAGGAGCCCGTTGCTTTCAGGGTGGTATTTTGTGTAGTGCGGGTCGCTGAAAATTTGGGAATCGAAGTTGCCACCGCAATCCGAATGGAAGACTGTAGGGAAGCCCCAACGACTGATCCACGCGCGAGTGACTGCATTGGCTACCGAGGCGGTCTTCTGGTTGTTCAACAGCACGGCTTCTACCCATTTGGTGAAGTAATCCGCCATGACGAGTATGCACGCGTACCCTCGAAAGGAAATGAGTAGGGGGCGAACGATGTCAAGCCCAACACGTTCTCCGGGGTAACCGGCTGTCATAGGTTGCATCGGTGCTCCTGTTGGGGCTTTGGGGGATTTGTACGAAGCGCAGATGGAGCAGC